TCTAGAGTTAGGAGGGATGTCATTTAGTTTGGTCCTAAGGTGGTTTAAAAATCATTCCAATACTCTATTAATAGATATAGATCTTTTACTTGTTTCTAGTCTGTTAACGGATAAACGGGATGTACCGTACATATTATTAACATTTCGTAATATTTTTGCTCGATCTGTTTTTGGTTCTGGGTTAATTAATCGTTCAATAGGGGCTGGGAGTTGGTGAAGATGGTACTTGAACATAAAACATGCAACTTCAATTTATTTAGGTCGTATTTTAATATATTTATTTTTTTAAAGAGGGGTTTAGAGGGATTTTTGTAGGGTGAATTTGTGATTCGTTTTTGCAGTTTATGTAATTTTTCAATATTTGTCGGGTAATATTTCCCCATATAATATTGCTGTATTGAAGGTGCGTGTAATGTATATGGAGCTTCCAACATACTGTTCATTTAATTGTATTCCAGCGATAACTGTGTTTTTTCTCAGTAATGTCGAATTGTTAATTTTTATTTAGGTATCAATAACAGGAATTATTTTTTGGCGTGGTCTAAAAATAATATAATTTGTCTTATCAATATTTAAAATGAGTTTATTGGCCGTAAACCATTAATTGATTTTTAATAATTTAATGTTTAAAGTATTAATAAGGTTTATCACAAAATTCTGGGTCATTTATGGAGTTCATTTTAATTTTCAGACATCTTTTTGAATCATGAAAGCACATTGCCACCAAAAGTGGGAACCAACCCTCTTAAAAATATGTTGGGGGACGTGTCCCACTTTCCCCACATGATCTGGGCCATGCATTACTACATTGCTATCGCACAGATTTTGAAAAGATAAAGTAAAAAAAGAAAAAAGAAATTATTGATCGCCCGAAACGCTCAGAGGTTATCAGGCGCGGATTTAGGGGAGGGCGGTTCTCCACCCCCTTTTTTTTTGGAAAGTAAAAAAAAAAAAGAAAAAAAATGATTGCCCAAAACGCATCAGAGGCTATTTTTGGGCGTCTAGAAAACAAATATTTCGCTGGGGCATGCCCTCGGAGTCCCTGGGTTATTGTTATCTTGATCGGCACAACTTTCGGCTCCCCTTTCGGACATCTCTGGATCCGCCCCTGGTCATTTCCGGACTTCTGGAAAACAAACATTTCACAGGGGAATACCCTTGGGTAGTGTTGACTCTCGATCCCCCCCCCCCCACCTTTTCGGGCACCCTGGGTCCGCCCCTGGGGCCCTATCTACATAATGCAGCCTTTCTTCATTCGTTTTATTCCTTTGATAGTGGAATTCTTCCCTCACGAACACACATCTTCTTCTGCCAATTCGTGGGGGAAATACAGGACCCCAAACTCTTTCTCGCCCAGCCCCCTCACTCGCGGTTAAGCCACTGTGAACATTATTGTTTTAAATCTATTCTTAAAGAAGAGGCTGTCACCAATATATTATTATACACCTGTTTCACTGTTTTGCATGAATGCGTTTGTGGACTTGCGTAGTAGATACAAATTGACGCATACCATTTCGATAAAGGTTTTGGACCAGACGATGTTGTTCATGGATGTGTTAAATGCCTGTGTTCAATCGGGCCATGGTTTTACGATAAGTATTATAATAAATCAATACTTAAATGCAACATTATGTTTAGTCCACAAGTGTTTACGGTATATTTAGGACAATATGCATCATTATTGCTTCGAAAATAGTATTTTAGGGCCTAAATTCAAAACTCGGGTGTACCAAACTAGATGAAACCCAGCTCACGCATGAAATGTTTTTTCGCGGCAAAGAAACGCCATTAAGTCCGTCTTCTACAACAGATAAGATGGCCTTGTAGATGGTAAATTTAAATCACTGTTTCTGTTTGGTTTGAAATTCGTTTTGGTCGATTCCTATCCTTTAAAGTTTGTTGTACTAAGGAGCTAATCATTCATTTATTCATTTCATTTCATTCATTCATGAAACAATATAATTATACACTAATATTATAACGTGTACTAGGCCTAGTACATTTTGATGCAGCATTATTTAAAATAGTTTAGATGATGCTGTATCGCCATTTAATTTGTTTCACCCAATTCGTATTATGCATTTGTGAAATATATTTTGTAGTGTTGTGTGTTGAATCACCTTGTAAATGTTTTTAACCCAACTCGCATCATGCATTTGTAAAATATATTTTATATAGTGTTGTATATGTTGAATCACCTTGTATCTGTTTTAATCCAACTCGTACAGCACAACTGAAACTTTAAAGGTATACAAGCCATCCACTTCAAAAGATTTGGAACTCAAAAAATATTTTCAAAAGTACTGTAGTATTGCTACTTTAATATTTAAATTTACTTAAGCAGCGTTTGTGGCCGTTAGCCTTGAGCTTGTGCGCTCGTGCATCTTTGGGGCCTCTTAACCTGTCCAAATTCAATTAAAGGCATACCGTACAAAATATTCCAAAAGCTGAAACAATTATATAATTATTAAGCATAGGCCTACTATTGCTATATGAAATGTTTTAGTTATTACTGTAGGCCTACTTAATGTAATCTATACGGGGTGTTTTTTTTTTAGTCTTGAATGTTTTTTTATGTCAGGCTTATAAACAAAAGGAATTGAACTAGTTCGGTTTGTATTCCTGTATTCTTTTACGTACATACTGTATCTTAGATTTAATTAATAATTAAGAAAATTATTATTTTTATTGCAATGTTGGTTATTGCTAAATTATTTAGCTATTGTATTCCGCATTGCAAACCCAAAATGTGTGAGCAGAAAACAAAGCTAGCTGTGTTAATTTTCATGGTATACAAACAACGAAATAAAATGGTAGGTGGATTCGCTTATATTAATACAAATTTCATGTTTTATAACTTTACAGAACATTAATTGAAAGAGGTTATAATTGTTTTCTTCTTTGCTCTAAAAAGATACAAGGAACAAGGACTGACGCGTGACTGATATTTCTGTCGGCAGTTATCATCTCTATTGAAATTTCAATTCCTGAAAAAAAAAACAAGTGGCAAAAAATAAAACTTGCTTGTTTTTTATTTTTTCTACTGCATTGTACAGAACATTTATATAAATACTTTGTATGTTTCAATTTCAGATTGAAAGGGGCTCGATAGTTTAGCATTGTTTAAGAAGCCCAACATTTGTTGGGTTCTTGAATGGTGTTTATAATTATGTTTGCCCCTTCTCTAAAGGAAAAGAAACAAGGATTGGATTTGGTTTATTTAGTGTAAACACGAAGGATAACCACGAAAGTCAAGAAACAAGAATCCAAGAAACAAGGACTGAATTGGCAGGGGCGGATCCAGAATTTTTCAAACGGGAGGCGGGATGTGGGGGTGGGGGGGGTGTGCACACAACATATTCAGAATAGAAAAGTGAGAGCGCTAATTTTAAAATTTAATGGCAAAACTGGGGAGCACGTGCCCCTGTGCTGGATCCGCCCCTGATTGGGTTTATTTGGTGTAAACACGAAAGTCAAGAAACAAGGATTGGATTAGGAATACTTGTTGGCACCTTCTAGTGGTGGTTGGGCAGTAGGCCTACTGGTAGACAATCCACTGCTGTTTTTGACGTGCACATGGGAAGGCCAACGGTTTAAACGTCTGAACCGAATGACGGTGCGCTATTGAAACATGCATTTCAGCTCTCAAGCTGAAACACAAGAAGGCCGAGCTGAACAGCGA